CTGCTGCCTCCCCGTCTCCCAGTGGCGCATTAAAAAGATGCGCAATCATGTTTACACATCGATTCTGCAAATGTTACGAGTATTATTTGATAGTCAATTAATAAAATAATTCTTAATGTACATAAAATTTGATACATAGAGGTGCATACACTCGTATGGTGGACCCACACCCTCACATGGGGGACCGTGTACATAAAATTTGGTACATAAGTGTGACCAATTGACACGTAAAAAAGACATCAAAGGTCGAATTGTTATTGTTTTCTACTTTGAGACAAGACTGGAAGTTCAGTTTGGTTAAATTGAATAAAACAACAATAAAATAAGTACCAAGTCCTTAGGATGCTTTTTGACGGTCGGTTATGGCACACGATTCATTGCCACGAACAGCGGCTTAAAGTTGGGCATTGATTAATCAATTTTGTCATATATAATCAATAATTTATTTTAAAAAAATTTCAAGCATATATTTTCACTTAAACTTATTTATTTACGGAAAATATTACTTATATAAAATTGAAATTTACGTCTAATACCGCTTTTCAAAAGGTTTCTACCTTTGACACAAGCAAAATTAAAGTGACGTTAGTATTGTTTCGTTTAGAGCATATGGGTTTGACTTATTTTAAAGTAATTTTTTATTTTAGATTTTTTTTAAAATTATAACTAAAACAATCAATTATTTTAAAGTCAAATCATGAATCTAGATAATAATCATCACATCTAGATCAAATTGAAAATTCTACATACAACGTCAAATTGTTAATGAGGATTTTGTTATTTGTACAGAAAGAACATTCAGAAGAAGTGATCGAAATGATATGTAGGAAAAGATTGGATAAAAAAAACTGACTGTATTTTAAACTAAAAAATGATAGAGTGTCATCTGACATTATGTAAACTATGTGATATATGTAGTATTGTCCGTGTAATGATAGAACTCAACCGGACCAAATTCGACTAGTCGTAATTTTGGTCTCGTTCCTTTCATGCTCTAGAAAAAATTGTAAAGTATAAAATATCATTTAAGTTGGTTCATTTTCATATTTTTGTTTCAGGCAACAAAGAAGTTGATTATTGAAAATACGTATTAGTTCATATAATTTACTTAACGGTTCATCTAATTGAGTTATGATTACAAAATATAATGTTAAGACTTGACTCCGGTATGTTTTGTAAAGCTTAAATTATAATTTAAATTAATTAAATATATTTTTTATTCAAACATTTTGGACGATCCATTTACTACCCGCTTGTCATTCCAAAATATGTTATAAATTTAAGTTCTTTAACTAGAATTGATGATCAGATTACCACCGTCTAATTCTCAATTTTAGAACTCGAATATGAACTAATTCGATTCGACCCTACCACCTGAAGAAGAGTTAGGTACGTTGAATCCACTAAAGTAAATATTCCAGCTCACACCTGACCTACCCCGACCAAAATATAGAGCCAGCCCCTAGCCCCTTGCTGCTTCTATTTTTTTTTTTTTAGAACCATAGGCTAGCTTCGTCTCTAGGTTATTTTAGTCAAACAAAAATTTTTCAGAAAATTATTTAAACATGTTTAGAAGCAGCTTATTAATTTTAAAAGTAACTTTTGACTTTTTAAAAATCCTGCCAAATGATTAATAATCTCCTACCACAAAAAAAAAAAAAAAAAAAAAAAAAATCGAATTAGTTCATATTACCTTTGAAAATGAAAATGGCTTCTTAATGCTTACTTGTCATTTGACGTTTTAAAAATAAAACTTGCCCAGAAGTGAAACTTAATGAAATATGTGCAAATGACTTGCCTGAAACTCAGTGGTGACAGGGTACTCATCCATATCGACGTAGTTCTTGTTAATGGCAGCCATGATAAGCTTGTCACACTCAGGTTCCATCCATGTTGTAACAAAGGAGGCCAGATTCAACCTAGGATTCCCATCCAACATGAGTTCATCGTTGATGATCTGGTACGCGGCTTCCTTGGGAATCGAATTCTCAGGAACCTTAAACCTATCAAAATTTTCATCAAATCAAACTTATAAACATGTGTGAGAGTATATGTGATGGAATACAATCCATCTAATTCGACGTAAGAGCACAAAAATATGAAAACAAAGTTACTGTGGAAGGGAATCCCGAACGTATCGAGAAGCAAACGTCGAGTGGACCGAGACATCGGATTGGGAGAATGCCTTGGATAGAACCATGGTAGTATTGTAATGGAGGAGCAATTAAGTTAAGATGAAGACTAGAAATTGGAAGAAATAAAAGAGATTTTATGTTGGGGAAATATTTAGACCAAGTAGTTGGTGCTTATATAGAGGAAGAGTGTAGACAAAAGTTGTAGGAATAAACAATTGCGTGTACTATTCAATTCAATGTATCCACTAAAATGCCGCCGCGTCCGTCCCTGGTAAACCATTCAAACTACGTTCTTGTCCAACCAAATTCAAAAAGAAACTTTCACAAATTACTAAAACCAGACAGAGAAAATACAGCAAAGCCAATTGTACCGGAATTGACTTTACCGAAGTGCTACATACACTCACATTCATGCGCTTCATGGTAATAAAAAATTGGCCCCCACCCACCCACTTACTTCTATTATTGAAGCTTTACAGAGTCAGCATGAACTTCCTTTGCCCAGATCTCCTTCTGCCCATTCGGGAGAGTCGGTAGGAACACCAGATTTAGAAAGAAGCTTGTTCAACCAATTGTACCAAAGTTGACCTTATGGAAATGCTACATACACTCACATCCATGGGCTCCATGGTAATAAAAAAATGGCCCAAAAAATCTCACCCTCCTATTGTGAGGTGTCGGTGGGGTTCCGTCAACCCCCACCCGGTACAACAAGTATGGCTCAAGAAAATATTAATATGATTTGACCAATTCTTTTGAATTTGAACCGTGAGCGTTGATTCTTGTTTCTCGTCGTAATCATGACTTTTGGTCAAAAAAGAAAACCATATAGTCTAGTATTTTCTTCCTTTTTCATTAGTTTTATTTTGTATTCTCATTTGACTAAATCTAAGTCACATATGTTAATTTTTTATATTATTTCTTGTTGTTTGCAGTTGGAATATTTTACTTATTCTCTTTGTTGAAGTTTGATCTTAACTTTAAAATTATTTTTCATGTGTTTTATTTATTTATTTTGGGAGGTGGGAAACAACTTACAGTGTCTTTTTGTTTGAACGTGTCAATGTGATGAGAACTGATTCAGAAATTTTGAAAAGAAAATTCTTTTTTTCCTTTTTTTGGTTAAAGGAAGCATTATATTCAGATTCGTGTTACACCTGTCCAAAAAAAATTCTTCTTTTTAAATTTTGAAATGTATTTGGTGAGACCATATAAAACGTCTCAGATAGATTTGATACAAAAACACGACTATAAGGGTAAGTTTAGCACGATATAATAGATTGGATAGCGATTAACTTAACTTTTATTCTGTATTTAATTTGATTAATACTCGTTAATTCGGAATGAATCAATTATATGAAAGTAATATACTATTTAATGGGGCCGTTTTGTATATAAATGCAAAATGACCACTTCAATTT